AATGTTTTTAGAAATATATTTTTACACTACTCAAGAGATGGCGTTGACGGTTAATTCTTCCATCTCTATCCTTTTTCTATTATTTTCTTTCCTTGTCTATATAGTTTCATTTGCGGCACTCTAGAGATGGCGCTGATTGTCATATTTTTATCCTATCGCTATCCTTGTCTCACTATTTGCTTTCTTTGTCTATCTTTAATTTCGATGCGTCATTACAAAAGTGATATATAATGTTAATTAAAACTAAACAAATTTTTGAGAAAGCAGATTGATAGAATATTTATTCTATTTTTTTACTTGTGATTTCTTTTTAATTCCAATTATTACTAATGTTGTAATTTTATTGTTACATTAAATTACTTATGTTAAATTACATTAAAAAGGTTAGAAAGTTCTAGTGTTTCGATGTGATAAAAAAATATATTGAAGTAGATTTATTGTCTAATTCTTTCGAAATCTACGAAAATAGATTCATTAAACAGATATTCACGTCAATGGTTACTATATTTTATTTCAAACGTTATTATAAATTATAATACAAATACAATAAGTATAATTGTAATATATTATAAATGTTAAACAATCCTGAGTAATTACTCTACATAAGAGATAATGAATCATAGTGTTATCGATAATCCTTTTCTTTCTTTCTTTCTTTCTTTTTTTTTTGTTGTAATTCGCTTTCCTCGACATTATTCACAATGTCGGATGACATCCTCGTTGGAACGAACCGTGACAATATATAATATAGAATATAATATAATAATAACATATAATATAAACAATCCATTTCATATGGAAGGGGTTAATTCTAAGTTATTTATATTTTCTTGCTCCTTAAATTGAGAACGTCATAAACTATACAATATTAACATCAAAAAATGATAATGTCGCGATCCGACAAAAACATTTACACAATGAGAAAATGCGGTAATACACAGTGCAATGTGACAACGCCATATTATATTCAATATTATGTGCAGAATCTATACATAACAAGAGCGAAACAAGCGTACAAATAATTTTCGATTTACGAAGAATTAACGAGAAACAGTGCACGTAGTAAAGAAAAGAGAAAAGAGAAAACGAAAGTAAATTAGAATAAATCATACCTCGTTTTCTTTTAACGCGATAAAGTTTCGCCATTTTTCGCTTTAACATACTAATCGTCTTTACAAAACAAATAAAAAAAAAAATAATAATAATAGTCACGAACAACGTGTCAACAAATGAAAAAAAAAAAAAATTATAATCGAAGCCTCCCTAGAAGACGAACTTTGAGCCGATCGTCGATTAAAATTAGCCCCCTCGTAAAGTCACAAGATGGCATTATAACAAATCTTACGATTTTTATAATTAAAACGCAAACGTAACAACCTTGACGAATTATTTGTCAATACACTTTCACACCAATACATATATGCGTTACATTGCGTTAACTACCACGACACTTGTATAAATGACTCGCAATACAGTAGACTGTCAATTACTCAAACTTTTGGTCTCTTTTTCTACGTTTAGAGATTCCTGTATTCGAGACCACGAAATTTAATTAATCGACAATCGACGTTCTACTGTATTTCCTTCGCATCTGTCGTTTTTCGTGCCATTTCTCGTCATCTCGAAAAAAATTTAAAAAAAATATCCTACCTACGATAGTAATCTTAATTTCCAATAATTCTGCTCAATTGATTCAATTAAATTAAATTTCTCAACATATTTCTCTATTTATTATAATTTAGATTCAGACTCGAAGCACCAGAAAAATATATCGCGTACTAAGAAGATAAAACAAAAGGAACGAAATGCTTTGATTAATGGTCATGTATACAATTGCACCATTACGATAATTGCAAAATAATCACGACGAGAAACGGCAGATATGAACTGAAATAATGCCCTAGAAACGCACGTCGCTCGCGAAAATCGATCGAAACGATCACTACTCGGTCCTACGGGAAAAATCATCGAAAGTTTTAAATGCGTATCAAATTAACCACCTTTATCGAGCGGTGGTCCCATTAAACGATATAAATTCGATCGATATGAGGGAGAAGAAAGAGGACAGTCCCTTCGAAAACGACCTATCGTTCGCGATAGGCTTTCAACCGTAAAGCAGAACTCGCGAGCCTAGCGCGGGACCCGAGCCTCGTTTCGGCTATTGAATCATGTTTACTTGATAAACATGCTCAATATCGTTACGTTACGACGAGCACGATCCCGGGCGATCGTAATAATTGACATTTGCTCCATTCTACCGTCGAAGCTCTATTCCCTATGGCAGTGACGAATTGCCTGTAAATTGTCAATGGAAAAAAAAAAAAATAAAAATAAAAAATGGATTGTCTAAATATTTGAAAAGAAACGAATAATCGAAAAATGCTGTATTTTTGTGAGTGATAATGCAAAGAAGTCGAAATTCGTGGGTCTTGAGGAAGACTCGGAACGAGTCTGACTTAGCACCATTCGAAAACAATTGTACGCGCGAATTATACAATTTAAACGAGTTTTCGACGATGTACTTTTTTTTTTATATGATATGCGTGATTATGAATTTTTAACGGAAGAATATAGTATGCGTGTTAATTAACGATTCAGAGCTCGAAACGTTTCTTCCTCTCGGCGACCATTCCCACTGCTGGAAGTGGTGGGTGGAGCGGGTGATGATAACTCGGCGTGGGCGTTGGAGGCAAGCTACGACAACTTCTGCTGGACCACCTCACTGCTGGAGACCTCATCAGCTCTGTAAATGGGATTACACTTTATTCGGTATTCTCTTCACTGATTTCGCTTTCTCCCGTGTTACCTTGAATGATAAGCTCGCGTGGAAAAGGAAATCAAGGTGGTAAACTCGGGTAAAAGAATATGTATGATTACTTGCACTAATATTTGAACATTACATTATATCTTCTTAAGGATTATTTAAATATAATATGTATTTATTTTTAAACAGAAGAATGTTTTATATTCTATTCATATTCTTTTCATAAAGATATTCAAAATATCATTGTTTAAAATAAAACATGAAATATATAAATAATCCTTTCACATACAAAATAAATAAGTAATATTAATGCAAGTAATTGTACATACTCAGAAAGTCCAAATCCAATATATGTGCATCAACAATTAAACTGCAAACACATTACAATATTGTTATAAAATTAAACGAATATATGAATGAATTAAACAAATATATTATAATAATACAATGTTATACAATAACAATATAATATTATAATATATTATAACACAATACATGATGGAACCTGAACCTAAACTTTGACAAGCTTCTAATTTTATCCCAAGCCAGTTAAGCAGCCAAGATAAAGATGTAAGCAAAGTTAAAGAAGAAGTGAAAAAAAAAGAGAAAGAATAAAGTGCAGAATAGGGAAGCGTGTCGGAGACAAAACAGAACTGATGGAGTGCTTCGTCGACGAATTCGTTGCAAGATTCTTCCTAATTGGCAAAGAAGAGAACGGACCTGCAACGGAGAGAGCTGGGGGTTCCGGGGTGAGGCGGGACTCGGGAGGATTGTCGGCATGGAAGCTGTATGCCTCTTGCTGTTTTTCGGTTTTGTCGCTGCTCTGCCAGCCACCGCCGGCGCCGTCGACCTCTGCTGTGCCACCTTTCGTGTGAAATACAATTGTCGAAATACGATTATCAGGTTTGCACAGTCCGTTTCCGCGTATACATCATACTTGTCACGTCATTCTCGTGTAGTCATTTTTTTAGGAATTATTTCAGAAAACGAATAAAATAGTCTTGGATTTGTCAGAAGAAGGGTATCTGAATCTTTATAAACTCTATATATAAACGATATGATTTGTGGGTTCTGTTAAATTGAAATTTGTTCCATATAGTTTTTCGAATTTTTATATTTCAATCTCACATTTGTCTCGATTAATAAAAACTTGATGATTTGAGAAAAATTTTGAGATATGTAACAATAATAATATAACGATATAATATTATATATATTATTGTTATTGTTATATATTATTTTATATATATATATATATAATATATAAATATATGTAATAATATAACGATAAAATTTTTAAATAGTCTCTCTACATGGTCAATATTATAAAGAAATATAAATATAACTCGAAGAATCTCGAAGAAGCTCGAAGAACCCAAAAATCATGTAAAAATTAAAACATATTTTAATTCTACGTTGCCACCGATCTGTATCTCTAAGACAGATGACAAGACGGTCAGAATGGAGTAATTAATGATTTTTCTTACACACCTAATTATGTTCCCAATAGTGAAGCGGCTCTTACAGTTACAATCGCAGAGTTTGATGTTCGGAAGCATGTGGAATATTTTTATGTAAAAAATTGACATTTCGTACTGTATACAGATTGCAAAAATATGATCTCCAGTAGTAAGAAAATGTAAAAAGTTTGCGTTACAAAATTCTTCGCTTATAAAAACACTATGGTAGGACTATTTCCCCTAATCCCACACGCTTCCGAATCTATGTTAATGATACATTGAAAAATTATTATGCGCACAGATTAGACATCCAAGGAGTACAAAATCACATTCACGAGAAGGCAGAAGTTATTTTGCGTTACATCGTTAAAAAAAATTCTCTTGTTAGCAATTGGTTAGACAACCTTCGAGTAATGGATTAATAGTTTTTTACGCTTTCGTATCGAAATAGCGATTAATAGTCGTTCAGTACATCACTTGTCAAATCGAAACATTATTATCGTCGAAGAAAGCCGGACAAAAATGATCCGCGTTTACAACCTCATCGACGCGTTACACATGTAAATAACAAAAACGTTTATTGCACAACAAGAAATTTGATTAAACTCGCTTTGATTCGATTTTGATTCATTTATCAATTAGAATTTTTCATCTTTCCTCCGAAGCGGTTAATTTCTAAATAGAAAGCACCAGGTTAGTCTTATTATGTTCCCCGTAATAATATCTCGAACAAAAAAAAAAAAAAAAAAAGGCAATCGCAAAAACCTATGCCGCGAATCATCCTTTGTTAAACCATTCGTTAACCTTAAGATTAACCCCTTCGCTACCAAGGATGAGAAGCAATGAGATGTTACGAACGATTCAACTTCTTTTTTATCCAAATCGTTGGACCAGATATTCTACTTGAAATATTTCTTTTTAGCGAAGGGGTTAAAAGCAAAGGCCTCGATCCTCGCAAATTGTAGCGCATGCCAAAATTCGTATTAAACACGAAAAGATGATCGATAGAAAGGAAAATAAAATAATAAAAAAAAAAAAAAAAAAAAAAAAAAAAAAAAAAAAAAAAAAGCAACGAGCCAAAGTTCGACTCGATATCAATCATTCAACGTACGAACGATCCAAGCCGAATGCAGCTGCTATGCTTTTCAAAGAAGAAGCGGAAACGAGGAGGAGGAGAAGGATCGAGAAACGGCGGCGATCCAATAGAAGCATTGTTTTCTTATTTTTCTTTTTTTCCCCTCTCTCTCTCTCTTTCTCTCTATCAGCTTCCTGCGATTCGCTCGCGTCCCTTTCACAGTTCCCATTTCACCTTTCTTCTGTACCTTGATACTGATGGGGCAGTCCGCTCCTCGGTCTCAGGCTGTCCCAGAGCGGCGATGCCAGGCCGTTACGCTCCTGGCTCTTTTGCCCTAAGCTCACCTCTTTCACGTCGTGCGAGTTCACGCCAGAACTATTGCCCGGCCTAACCAAGTTACTCGAGTAAGGCAACGAGACCGATTTAACGCGTTCAAGCTTGTACGAGAACGCTGCCTGCTTGTCCTGCGTGCTCTTTTGCAACGTGGACAGCGTGCTTCTCGGCCTTTCGCCGCCCGTTCTCTGCTCCTCGCTGCTCGCCGCTCTGAGCAGCGGCTCGTTATTAATCCTGCCACGCTGCGGCGAGTAGCTTAGCGACGAAGATTTCGATGGCACACCGGACGTATCACGAGGGGCCTCCCCATGCTGTTAGTGAAATATCGAAAATATATAATGCGTAAGTGCGGCTTGGTATGGTGGGTGGGGTTAACAACGATCGTCGGTGATCGGTGCCGGGTCAGAACAGAATGTCGTGTGTCGTGGACAATTACACCTTATGGGGCTACTCACGAGGCTCGATGGTAGGTAGGTACAGTAAAACCTCCGTGGACTTGCTCCTATTGGAAATTTTTATTGTAAAATTGTTGTTATTATTATTATTGTTGTTATCAATGTATGCAAGTGTTATTGAATATTAAACTCTTAATTCGTGAGATGCGATTTTGTTACGTGACTGGTAAGAAAGGACAGAGCAATTTTTAATATTGTAAATATTGATGAGTAACATTTTAATAATCTTATGTATAAAAGATATTTGATCGTTGGACAAGTTCGTGTCTAATCTTCGATCATAGATTGAATGTATTTTTTTTTCAAATTATGGAAACGAAATCGAGACACGAATTTATCGTGAGAAGATCCAAGTATCTTTTTTTTTCTTTTTTTTTTTCTTTCTTTCTTTTTTCCTTCCCTATCAATTGAGGCGGATGAATAAAGCGAACATGGAAGCTTTGCTGTACCTAACTTCGTCTAGCCTATGTCTACTATGTGTTTATTTACAAATGATAGACCGAACTTCGTTATTTAGAAGCGTTTTCTCGAAACGTACTCGACGATCAAGCGTCAGAGCGTCGTGGAGCATCGTATCGCAACAACAAGCTCGTAAGGGGAGGTGGGTATGCGCCATAACATGTAATTGCGGAGTTAATCATCATTTAGTATGGTACATTTTCTTTTTTTCTTTTTTGTTAACCACATCTACGCTGTAAACGGGGCACGTTCACGGCGATGGGAAGAGTTTCAAAGGGGTTACCTTCAACTGTTGCAGTCGATGGATCTCTTCCCTCGGCTCGCCAATCTCGTTGTCCCTGCCCCTCAACATTTGCATGTTGTCGTTTGCGCTGTCGTTCGTTTCCAATACAAGATGCGCCCTAAGCTGTTTGTTCCTCGCGTCCAATTGCATAATGTGTTGTTGCGCTTGAGCAAGCTGCTTGGTAAGGGATCCTACCTTTTCCTCCAAAGCCGCTGATTCTACGCACTTGGACGAGTACTTGGCAGATAAGGAAAGAATCTCCTGTTTGATCTCCTCCATCTCTTCCCTACGTACAATTATAATACAAATTAATACGAATTGGCTAAGATTTAACGATCGATACTTTTTTAATAAATGAAAATGGGAAAATACAAAAGAATTGATCACGTACTCGTGTTCCTTGTGAAGCACGCCAATGTCTTCGCGTGCCTGCATTTGTTTAATAAATTCCTGTTTGAATTTAGCTATTTCTTTCTGCACCTCGTGCTCGTGAGCTTTTCTCATAGCGTCCAGGGCCGCCAGAGTGGCCTGAGTCTCTTCCGACAACGCCTGCTCCTTCTCCACCCTCAGATTTTCCAACTCTTGTCGGTGTTTCTCCTCCATCTCGGAAATGATGCGCCTGTGAGAATTCTCCATAGCGAGCAAACCCTTTTCGCACAACGCTCGCAGTTGCTTGATCTCTTCTTTGTATCTCTTCCTCGTTTCCGCATCTGTATCCAATTCGGCGCTCATAGATCTTTGATAAGCGGCTCTAAGTTCGTTCACGTGAGCGGAATGCTCGGAGTCCATTGCGTTCAGCCTGTGCTCCAATTTTCTCGCCTTTTCGCGCAAACTGGCCGCTTCCTGCTCGTACTGAGAGGTCAACGATTGCCTCTGATTGTCCAATTCACCCTTGATGTCCATCAAATCCCTCTCCTGGTTACGCTTCAACGTCTCCAACTCTTGATTATGCTCCACCGTTATCCTCTCGATAGTTTTCTGCAATTGGTCACACTGTTTGCAAGTCACGCTGTTCATATGGTCGCTCAATTTTTTTATCTGCTCGCGCAACTGCGAGCATTTCTCGCACACGCTCGACCAGTCGGTAATGGTAATCATCGTGGCCGATTTCGCCGGCCGTGAAACATTCTCGCCACTCTCGTCCAATTTCTCTCTCAAAACGCGTTTGCCAAACTCGACCAAATCCTCCTCGAGACAGAGCAAACTCTGGCCAACGTTCTTCATTTGCTCCTTGGAGGCGCGCTTCGAACCGGATATCCTGTCCTCGCAGTCCTTGCTAAATTGCTGATAAAGGTAACTGTACTCCGCGTCGAGAATTGGATTGCTTTGGAACTCTTGATCGCCTGCCTCTAGCAGACTCGAAAGAACGTCGTCGTTTCGGATTAGACTAGATACGAAAGTCTCCCCAGGGAAGGGCGTGGTCGATTGTCTCGCGTTCTCCTGAAGAAGCTCGATTCTGGCGTCTATTAAAGCTTTGTGCGCGATCACGTCCGCGTAGTCAGTCAACAATTGTCTCGACTCGTATTTCGACTCGACTATCGCCGACTTGTTCTTCTTCAACTGGTGAAGGCATTCTTCGTACACGTTGGACAGCTCGCGAGTCGACTGTTCCATCTCTTCGCGCAGCCTGGATTGGGCCGTGTCGATCCAAGATTCTAACGTTACGTTCTCCGCGCTCTCGAAGTTGAGGCAAGCATCGGTGATGCTGGTGATATTTTGCTCGTACATCTGGCCGCAACGCATGATCACGTGAGACACTTCCGCCTGCACCAACTCCTTGCTCACCGTTTCTTGGGCGAGCGCCCATGCCTCGCGAATTCGTCGATCCTCCAGCAACTTTTTGCTCGAGTTGGTCGCCTGTTGCTTGCTCGAATCCTCTTGCTCCGACATGCTCAACGTCTCGGCGGCCAGTGCCTCCGCGAGCTGTCTCAACTTCGTCTCCTTGTATCTGCACACGATCTCGTTTATCTCGCGCTGCTTCTGCAGCAAGAAGTTCAAGCTCTCGTTACGAGCCGCGGACACCTCCTTGGACACCGTCTCCGTCGCTGCCACGCCACCTACTAGTACTAACTTATTAGCTAACACTCTAGTAAGATACTGAATGTAACTGGTGTTTTGGTACGTTTTGGGCTTAGTTCCGTGAATCTTACGCATTAAGCTTGAGGCAAGCTGACTAGTTTCGACCAATTCACTGAGAACGGCACTACGGTCGAATGTACGGCCGATCGCGCACTTGATCTGTCTCAGAACGACGAACTCGAACGCAACCCTCTCCGCGATCAGCTTCATCTTCTCCCTATCGTCCAGCTGGCCGTTCTGCTCGAGCGTCTGCCGTCTCTTCGTGAGTTCGCTCAATTTATCTTTAAGTATAGTCTCTAGTCTAGATACCACTACGCCTACTGACTCGGTCACTTGAGCGCTACCTTGGTTTTTCTTACATTCTAAACACGAGTCCAAAATATCGTTTACCTCGCGCAAACACTTCTCCGCTTTGTCCTCCGCTTGCGTCGAGCCTAAACACTTCTCTAGCCTCCTCTTCGACTTCGACACCACTCTCTCTAATTTCTTCAACCTCGCGATTATCTCCAACGACACCTCGCTTGTCGAGGGCGAGCTGATCTCGCTACATTCGCTGGAGTCTTTCTCTGCGTCGCTCGCCATATTCTCTTGCACGTTTGCCACCTTCGTCTCCAACGTGCTCAGCCTGATCAACACTTTCATCGGTTCTGAACTAGTTGCGCTGTCCAGCGATTTTCTTCTTAATCTGGTACGGTCCAGACTCTTGCTATCCCTCCTCTTCTCCTTCTTTGGATTAGGGCTCGACTCCTTCGGGCTGCTTCCCGCCGACGCAGGCGCGCTGATGCTCTTCCCGCGTTCTATAGCACAGATCTTGTTCTCCAGATCCACCAACTTGTCCTCCATCTCTTGAGAAATCTGGAAGGACTCACGACCCTTCAACGACAACGACCTCCTCTTGTCCCTGGTTTCAGCTTTTGTCAGCTTCTGCTTCAGATTCCTTACTTGCTTCTCGCTGGCTGCAAGCTTGTTGGTCAAATCTTGGATCCTAGCTGCCATTAATTGAATCTGAGCTTGATTCGTCTCGTTCACGCTAACTGCGTCCTGCTTGTGAGCAAAGATCTCCAATTCCAAAGCATCCTGCATTGCGTGCGCCTCGCGAAGCTCCTTGCGCATCGCGCGTATCTCAAGGATAGCTTTCTCGAAACGGGATCTAAGTTCGTCGTATTCTTCCACGATTCTACGTAAATAAAGGGTGTAAAAGATTTATCGTGATCTGGCTTATGAATATTTATAACAATTCAATCAATCAATTCAATCAATGTAGAACAGATTAAACGTATTACCTTTCCTTGTCAAGAGAATTGAAATCCAGATCCAGCTCAATGTTCGTCAAATCACTGAGAGAATCGAAACTTCTTCCTCGTTCTTTCGAAGAAGACAAGCCCCCTTTGTCTTCCAGTTCTCTAACTTTGCTATACAAACGTTCGTTTTCCTCTATTCCTAGATGAATAATATAATATAATTAGCAATTCTATCAATATCGCAACATTTTCATTCGATCAACGTACCTTGAGATAATCTATTGCTCAAAGAGGTTATCTCCGACTGCAGATGTTCGACGGTTCTATGACTCGATGCCAACTCTTTAGTAAGCATTTCACATCGCTCGCTGGTCTCTCTAAGAATAGCTTCGGTCTCCAGCAACTTGCATTCCAACATCTCCTTATCCCTGTTGTACATCTTCTTCATCTTCTCTAGATCCTCCAAGTCCTTGTTTCTCTGCTGCTCCGTTCTCTGGATCGTGCTCAATAATTCATCCACTTGTTTTTCTCTGATGGAAGCTTCAGCCTTTTGCTGCCTCAACCTGGACAGTTCCTTTTCAGCACTCGCGACGTCCGCTCTCGCCGTATTCAGCTGCGACTTTAAACTTTCTATTTCGTTCTCTTGACGCTCGATAATGACTAGTAGTGTGCTCGGATGCGACTGATTTTGATCTAACTGATCGCGCAGCAAAGACACCTGGTTCTCCAACAATTCTACTATTAATGGGCTCTCGTTTGCGCTCGACAGACAACTATTCTGCATGTGCCCGTTGTGCTGTTCTTCGTCCTCTCCTAATTCGCAGCAAGCCATCATCAAATCCTCAGACCTGACGCTGTCCAAAGTGCTTCTTCTTGAGCTTAGAGGAGAGCTGCAGCTTCTCTTGTAAACTCTGGATCTGGAGCTTGATCTGGATCGAGCTTTCACTCTGGACAAAGCGGTTCTAGTCAGCGGTGGCGACGGAGGTAATTCCGACCATTCGTGGTTCGCCGAATCTGACCAACTGGAACCCTTCAATCCACTGGGCCAGTCGCCGTTTCTCACTAAGGGTGGCGATACTGGGACCTCGGACCAATCACCAGATTCTCTTCTGCCGCCTTCGGATGCCGTTCGATATTCTTCATCGGAGGAAAACAGAACTGAGCGTGGTGTGACTGACGTTGAAGGAACAACCGAGGAGTCTCTTTCGCGGTCCGTCAGAGATCTGAAATCAAAAACGAAGTTTTAATTTACGTTCCAACAGAAGAATGTTTGCACGAGGATTTCTTATTTTATGAAGCATACATAGTCGCTTTTTCAACCAAGAAATATAGAAAGGTACGAATGTTTGTACTCATCCTTCGATTTTTACCTCTGTGAACATATTAAATAATTTCTTTAATTAATTGTCATACTTACGCGGTAGGCGATTGTGGGGTGTTATCTTGCTGCGCATCCTGACAAACCGTCAGAGAATCGCTGCCATTGTCAGGATCTGGTAAATTGGCAGCCCTCCGAATGGCCGACATCCAACTGGCTCGTATACCAGCGGTCACCGCGGACAATACCGTAGATCCTCGATCGTCCCAGGCCTTGGAACGCAGAACAACAAAAAAAGAAGATGAAAAGAGAGAGAGTAAAGTAAATCATCCAATAAGGAAAGGGGCAAAAACGACAGAACAGAGCAGAACGTTAATCATCGATGTGGGGCAAAGCAGCAGGATACAGAGCGGGTGACAGAGATCAGTGACACGAATAAACGAAGAGTTCCAAGATCTGTTCTAGCGTGAAATTGAGTTACCGACTTTTTCCAGCCACTCCCATCCCGGCCACGGAAGTTAATTCCGGCAATCCAATTGACCAACAAGCCCTCCGGGAGATTCACGGTTAACTACAAGGAAGGACTGTACAATACCGACTAGTTTCTAGATATTAACACTACTTTTCAAAAGAGAAATGAATATAATAATTTTCTGCATCCTTTTACATTATTTGTTACTTGAACTCAGAAATTCTTATTATTAAACTCCAAAGAAGTTCTATTTTACAAATCTTTAAATTTTCATCAAATCTTTGATCAGAGGGAGATTCACAATTAATTACAAGGAAGGGCTGTACAATACAGACTAGTTTCTAGATATTAACACTACTTTTCAAAAGAGAAATGAATATAATAATTTTGTGCATCCTTTTACTAACATTATTTGTCACTTGGACTCAGAAATTCCTATTATTAAACTTAACAAAGAAGTTCTATTTTATAAATCTTTAAATTTTCATTAAATCTTTGATCAGAGAGACATTCACATTAACTACAAGGAAAGGCTGTACAATACAGACTAGTTTGTAGATATTAACTATTTTTCAAAAAAGAAATGAATATAATAATTTTGTGCATCCTTTTACTAATATTATTTGTCACTTGGACTCAGAAATTCTTATTATTAAACTCCAAAGAAGTTCTATTTTACAAATCTTTAAATTTTCATTAAATCTTTGGTCCAAGATATATCAAAAAACTTGAACAATTAAATTAATGGCGACTCTTCCTTAATTCTTACTGACTTAACTTAATATTCTCTATCCAAAATGAATGTTCAAACACAAATCCAGCGGATGGACAATGTGAACCGATTTCCTTTGCATTGTAGTATCTACCTGATAGGAGCAAGGATAAAAAAAAGAAAAAAAAGAGAGGAAAAAAGGAAGAAAATTACGGCTCCCGTAAGAACTAACTGGATTTCCGTTCGTTGATTCGTTCATTCGTGCGGAATGTTAATTACCGTAAATCACCGCGTGCAAATCCACCGGTCACACTCACCACAGTCTGGAATCCATAATTTCTTGCGACTTGAAGGGGCGTGACGGCGGTAACGGTATTCAGATCTATGACACCGTCCATGATACCCTTATCTTCCGCGCAGGGATCTCGGTAGTACATGAGGCCGCAACCGCGAAGCACGAACCAATGCTTGTTCCATTCCTGAAGAATACACCATTCATTTTATCTATATACCTGTTATTATCGACTCTCGCTACTGTTCATTGTAAATTATTTCAAAGCCATGCCATGCTCTCAAGCAAGATGTGACACGAATTTAACTTTTGGCATCATATTGAGCTCAACGAGAAACGATGAAGATTTAATCGATACATTCATTCTTTCTATTAAAAACACTTAATAGAAATAGACGCTTTGATGACGAACCTTATTTAATCCTTGCTTCATTAACCAGCCTTTCTTTATGTTTAATAAATCTTCAGCAGGTAGATCGACCCTCAGTTCGGAGGTAGGAGAGTATCTAATGCCGGAGATGTCAAGGCCACATCCATCCGGATCGCCTCTAATCTGTAGAAGAATAATCAACGAATTCTTACTATTTTTCGTGATAACTAAAGACAAACAATTACGATTATACGATTATACGTTAATTTATATCTCTCAAAATTTCAATCGACTCACAAACTTATCCTGATAGGCAGCGTTGGCCGCATCCACCACATCCCTGGTCGGCTCAGACGTCCTAGGCTTGATCCTCCTGACGCGTGGCTGGGTCAAGGAGGCGGCAATGTCTCGCAATTTTCCTTCTCTTTCTCTTTCATGCTCCAACAGGATCCTTCGACAGGCGTCATCGTCTGCGAAACAAGCGTCAAATCGTTCACTCATCTCTTCATTCGATAGAGTCGTCTCGCGCATTACAACACGATAATGATAGACCAGCATCCTAATCACGATCAACGAGTGGCGATGGCGTTTCTGGTTTCGTTCAACTGCTCCTTCAACGCAAAAACATTCGTCGCAAACACGGGCAATTAAATATTTTTCGGTTAAGGAAAAGAAGGTTTGAACGAAGGCAAGGCCTTCGGCTTGCTAATTGACCGCCGACTAATTAATAACTCGGCCTCGTTCCGTGCCGTGGCAAGAACTCTTATCTGTCTCGTTTATCCACCGTTCCTATCCACCCAGCGTCGAAATCTAACCTTCATTATTATGCTAATAACAGTTTTCAGCGAACTATCTCTCTTCGAAGTTGCGAGGCAGGGGAACGTGACGTTTCGGCAGGGTGGGAACAATGGGGTGAGTTTCGAGGAAGATTGATCACTTTCAGCGATCGATCACTTATATGGAATTAGTTATCCAAGAGATCGAAATATTATGCTTTTTTTTTTAAGAAAGAAAGAATTGAATCTTTTAAAAGTTCAAAATTTGAGAGAAATCACTCGCATCGAATCGATCTCTAAATTAAAAGTTTAAATTAAATTTCTGTAACTTCGAAATTGTTAAGAAAAGAGTTTACCTGTAAATCTGAATTTTTCTAGAAATAGAAAGAAATTTTAAATATTGGATTCGAAGATACTAGCAAAGAATACAATTAATTTTGATAAAAAATTATTTTTATTCGCGTTTAACGAAGTAACTTGACTAAAAAATTACAAAATTTAAAAATTCGAAACTCGCAAGGTCTTGTTTACGAAACGATCGGATATCCTTAATAGATATTAGTGTGTATCTTTCAGACAATCTGCGGATCATTGGAAGAACTACTCGAGGGAACTCGAGGTTGCTGGACGTTCGAAGCCAATCTAAATGAAATCTACGGATCGGGAGAGTAGAGATCATGGGGCACGAAGGAGAACCCGGTAGATTTTCTCGATGATTGTGCACACGTAATTACGCAACAAACGGGAAACGTAATCACACCAAGGCGAATCCTCTGGAATCGGAAGGTACAACTGTGCTAGTTAGACCCTTATAAATCTCGATACGCCGGATCCTCCTTCGTTCCACAGACGTGCTACTTAACTTTTTTTCCCCTTCCTGATCGCTGATTCACCGTTTAATACTGAATTTCCGTATTGACGTGTCAATCAAGCCTGTTCGAAATCATTATCCTCCAGGAGGAGAGATAATATTGATCGATGTATTTGTGTTCATGGGAAATAGGATTGCTTGTTTAAGAATTGGTGGGTTTAGACCGTTTACAGCATTGTTAGATGTATATTATACAACATTGACAAAATTTGTCATCTTTCAAACAATTTTTTTTATTTGCTATTATTTATTATTAATTTACACTTCGAGTTTAGAATCCTTGATTTATAGACATGATCTCCTGTTCTGATAATTTTTCTTTTTTAAAAAAATATATTTTCACTTCTATATTCATCCATATATATTATAACTGATTATGAATTAAATTTTTTCATTAGAATCAAAATTAAATTGTAAAGAAGAATCTATCTTCAACGTTCTAAGATCGCCAATTATTCCAACAATTCTTCGAATATTCTTAGTTTCAAGCATCCAAGATGCAGGTTTTTGTGCTCTGAACCTTCGATTCACCGTTACCCGATGAACATCTCGTATCCTAAACGACGAACTATCACCAATCGAATCGAACGAAAGAAAGATAACGTCGGCCACGCGCGTTCTAAGATCGGAATTAGACTTTTTTTTTTCACGTTTAGATAACGAACCAACTGGAAAAAGCTAATTCGATAATGATGCGTGAACAAATTGCACGGATTAACGGTGTAAAACGAGCGCGCGCGCAGTTAACGCGCGACTTTTAAAAAAGGACGCGGCAACCGGTTCTCAATGGAATAGATGAAACGGTGAAAAATTCGCCATGTTTTTCTCGATTAAAACGTTCGATAGCGATATGCTTCTTATTAATCGTTGTCAAACAGTGAAAAGAATGGTCGAAGTGAATCGAATCGATTCGATTTACGATGTTTAGAAAATTTTCTTCGATAATCATTATTGCCCAGTTTCGTCGATAAAAATTAAGTATTAAGAATGTTTGGAATGTTTTCTTATCTTAATAATGAACGAGAATGATGGATCACTCTCAATATCATCTTCATTATATTTTGTCGACGTTAGTAAAGCGATCGAAATTCTTTCTATCGTAGACGAAATATAGTTTTTAATTAAACTTTTTAATATATAATTTAAAATCACCTTAAACGAAAAAATATAATTATGATCGATTTGCTCGTTAATAGACGAAAAAAGAAATCACACATAAGAAAATGCCTCAAAATATCGTACAAAAATTATTAAAAAAAAAAAAAAATTCAAATGTCAATATCTTAAAGAAATCGTATAATATTGATTTACGATTCGCCTCACCAATAAAAAGAAAGCAATTATCTAACTTTATATCTTACATTCGGATATATAATTACAAGTAATTTGAACAGGAATGATTTGACCCGAAGTAAAAACTATCGTACTATCATTCTCGTTATATCGTTCATCGTTGATCGTTTTTTTCGCCGATTTCTCGTTACTTTCACTTTTACCTGAAACATCCAACGATCCCCTGTGATAATTCGAGAAACACATTCATCCTAATCTTTCTAAAACCTGTACCGAAGAAACAGCAACCGAGCGAAGAGAGAAATCGCAGCCACGTGAGCGCCGGGGGAGAGGGGGAAGGGGATCATATCGCGATTAAAGGCTCGTAGCTCACTGAAAACGACCGAGGTTTAACTTATCGCCGATTGGAAAGCACGTATGAGATACCGATGGTGGGAACGGCACATATAGAAAAAAAAAAAAAAAAAAACCCCCCCC